CTGTTGCCCAGGCTGGAGTGCAGTGGCAAGATCTCAGCTCACTGCAACCTCCACCTCCCCAGTTCAAGCAATTCTCCCGCTTCAGCCTCCCTAGTAGCTGGAATTATAGGCGCTTGTCACCATTCCCAGTTAATTTTTGTGTTTTTCATAGAGATGTGATTTCACCATGTTGGCCAGGCTGATCTTGAACTCCTGACCTCAGGTGATCCGACTGCCTTGGCCTCCCAAAGTGCTGGGATTACAGGTGTGAGCCACTGCTCCTGGCCTCTCCAACAGTTTTTCACCTAATAGTTTTGATATCTGTGGATGAAAGTTCTTTAGTGACAAAACTGGTGATTATTTTTTCAATGCTTTCTGATTTTTCTAATAAAAACAACAACTGTTGAAAAGCAATTGAATATGCATTGAAGTACTAATGCTTTATGTAGTGATTTACACACAAGCCCATTGTACCTTTAAAATTAATATTCATTATCTGTGTTCATTTATACCCCAAACATTTTACAAACATGGTTTAAAAATATATAGTATAGCCATTACTCCAAAAAAAAGTGGCATAATTTTTAGATAACCCTTTTAAAATGTGGAACTTCCAAATATGGGTGACTAATATACTAGTGTAAATCAGGTCAGTATAAGTTTGAGCTAATGAATCAGCAAGCATGTATTGAATGACATTTTAGGCCTACACTGCCAGATGCTCCAATGTCCTAAAAGAAATAGAAGCTACCCCTCTTTGTCCACAGCTTTTAGTACTTACAGATTGTATCACATAGGTGATCAAATAGGTTTTGAACTAGGTTTTGCTGTACAACAAATCACCCCAAAACTTAGTGGCTTAGAACAAATATCTTTTCCTTTACTCCCAAATTTACAATTTGGGCAGGACTTAAAAGGGATAGCTCATCGGTTTACTGCATCGCCAGTGGGGATATTTCAGCCTGGGGCTTGGAGGATCCACTTTGAAAATGGCTCACTCACATGGCACGTTGATGCTGGCTATTGGCTGGGAGCTCAGTTGGGGCTGTTAACTGGGGCCAGTTTCCATGTGGACCATTCCACAGTGTGCTTAGGCTTCCTCATAGTATAGTGGCTGAATTCCAGGAGTAAAGAGGAAAATCCAACAGGCTGGGCATGGTGGCTTACGCCTGTAATCTTAGCACTTTGGGAAGCCAAGACGGGCAGATCATGAGGTCAGGAGATCAAGACCATCCTGGCTAACGTGGTGAAACCCGTCTCTACTAAAAATACAAAAAATTGGTTTTTTTGGTGGTGGCAGGCACCTGTAGTCCAGCTACTCAGGAGGCTGAGGCAGGAGAATCACTTGAACCGGGAGGTGGAGGGTGCAGTGAGCAGAGATCACACCACTGCACTCCAGCCTGGGCGACAGAGCAAGACTCCGTCTTAAAAAAAAAAAAAAAAGAAAGAAAGAAAAGCAGAAGCTATCAGGTAGGCAGCTAAGATGGCCCCAATGACTCTCACCCTTGTATAATCTTCCCTTGAGTGTGAGTGGAACCTATGAATATCATTAGATATTATTTCCGTGATTACTTGACAAAAGAGATTTTGCAGATATAAATGAGGTTTGGAATCAGTTGATCTTAAGATAGGGAGATTCCCTGAGTGAGCCTCACCTAACCACATGAACCATTTAAATCTGGGTCTGGAGGTTGGAGACTGGAATTCAGAGATTCAAAAAATGAGAGGGATTTGACATGAAGGATATTCTACATAGCCAGCTTTCAAGGTGGAGGTGACCACCTGGCAAAAAATAAAGAAACAGCTCTCAGTCTTGCAACCATAAAGAACTGAATCCAACTCTCCATGTAACGAGCTTGGAAGCGGGTCCCCACCTCGACCCTGATCCTCCAAGAACTCAGTCCAGCGAATGCCTTCATTTCAGCTGCGTGACACCTTGAGCAGAGAACCCAGTTATGCTGTGCCCAGAATTCTAACCTACAAAACCATGAGCTAATAAACAGGTATTATGATAAGCTACTAAGTTTGGGACAATTTGTTGCATAGCAATAGAAAACTAACATAAGCTATATTGGTTTTTATGGACTTAGCCTCAGAAGTCAACACAACATCACTTTTTCCATAGTCACAAGGCCACCCAAATTCAATGAGAGGGTAGATAAACCCACTTCTCAAAGATACAAGTGTCAAAGTTCTATTTCAAGAAGAGCATAGGAGCTGGGTGCAGTGGCACACGCCTGTAGTTCCAGCTACTCAGAAGGCCGAGGTAAGAGGATTGCTTGAGCCCAGGAGTTTGAGACCAGCCTGGGTGACAGAGCAAGATCCCATCTCTAAAAATATTTTATTAATTGATTGATTGAGATCTAGTCTCACTCTGTCACCCAGGCTGGAGTGCAGTGGCACAATCACAACTCACTGCAGCCTCAACTTCCTGGGCTCAAGTGATCCTCCCACCTGAGCCTCCCAAAGTGTTGGGATTACAGGTGAGCCACTGTGCCCAGGCACACACACACACACACACACACACACATATATGTATATATATACTCTTTAAATATATGTATGTTACAAATATATGTATTTGTATATACATATATGTATATATACATATATATATTTAAAGAGTGTATAAGATGGGAAATATTTTTATGTCCACCTTTGGAAAATACAATCTACCATATTATTTAACTTGAAGTCACATAATTATAGAACTTTGGAGTTGAAAGAGTCTCATGGATTATCTGTAAAATGAGGTATGATAGTGGTACCTACCTCACAGCAGTGTTGCAAGGTTTCAGCATGTTAATCCACAGTAAGTGCTTACCATATGGCTTGATATATAGGAAGTCCTCAGTGCATTTTAGCTGTTACCATTTTTATCATCCAATCCATCCATCTCATTTTACAAAGGAGGCATGAGGCCTTGAGGGATCATGTCATCTGTCACGGTGACACAGCGAATTCATGGGAAACCAGGATTAAGGTTTCCTGTTCCTCACCTCACTCCTCTATACAAATTACTGTAACTTCTGATGTGTTTATATCTTTCCAACTATGTCATTACATTCCTTTAGGCTAGGGAAGAAATCACCAAATGAAATATTCCTTCTCCCCTCAAACCTTCCTAACATGTTGACTGGATATGGCCCAAATTGAACAAGACAGGGCCTGCCCATCCAAAGGGACGTTTTACAGAAATTTTAGAGAAATGGAGGTACAGACATGTGTATTTAACTTTCCTGGTAGACGCTGGGCTGTATATAGCCTTTGTATAAAATATGTGTCTATTAGACATTTGTTGATTGTTATAACAAATGGGCCAGACCTATACTAGAAATAGAAGGTAAGACATTATCATGGAACCTGGCCAGCAGCTGAAGGGATACATAGAGGTAAAAGGGTACAAGACTAGGATTGAGCAAAACTGTAGAGAATTTTACGTGTCTGAAGCAAAGGTAGTGATGAAACAGCCTTAGGATTAGCGAGCATCAGTAATGTTGTCCAGTGGTTACCTCTCCTCACAGGTAAACTAGTTCTGCTGTACAGTTCACTGTGTGTGTGTGTGTGTGTGTGTGTGTGAGAGATGGAGTCTCGCTCTGTCGCTGGAGTGCAGTGGTGCGATCTTGGCTCACTGCAACCTCTGCCTCCTAGGTTCAAACAATTCTACTGCCTCAGCCTCCTGAGTAGCTGGGATTACAGGTGTATGCCACCACACCTGGCTAATTTTTATATTTTTAGTAGCGACGGGGTTTCACCATGCTTGCC